TTACAGTTTCCATATTGTAATTTTCTAATCAGGATAACTGAGTGCACTGAAACCAATTTGTTAGAGTTCAAATGAATAAGGCAAACTGCATAAATTGGTGCGATTACAAGTGCACGAGTGCTTATATTGCAGCTTAATACGGTTTAGTATATACGATCAGGGGTTCATCTATCAGCAGTCATGACCGTATCATTTTGTCCGATTGCCCAGTTATCTTGGTGACTGAATCGATCTGCGATGGAAAAATCATTCAGCTTACCGACCAGCTCTAACCCTCAGCGTTCATTCTCGCTCATTCGGCCAGTTCGCCAGTCATTCGAACGACAGCTCTCACCACACAGGCACGTGGGGGAAACCAATCAGTGGACAGTGTGGGATACACACATACAAACACAAATAACAAACCAGGTGCATCCGCACGCACACACGCATAGGAATGCAATTAAGCACATGCCGATTAAGTAAACAACCAACCGGCCACATACCAAGTGTTCGTTCGGTTTCAGTGAGCAGCCACTTAGGGATCACACCCAAGCAAAACGCGTTATACAAGCTAATGTGTTTGATCGATGCTTGTGTGTGCGTGCGTGAGTAAAAGTGCGTGCACGAGAGAGCGAGTATGAGTAGTTTGGTATATTCAGAATTGAACTTATACGAAAATAAATTGTATTTACCAGCTGCGCGGTACATTTTTTATGGGTGGTGTGACACAAGTGAAGAAGGTTAAACAATTCAATGAACCACTGTACCATCACTCAATCACATCTGATGAAAGGCCAACATCGATTGCCACTTCGGATGAGGTCAGTCTATTCCAAGTTATTTTCTAATCTACTGACCTTTAGCAATCAGAATGATTTATTGAGTAGCTGCCCCGGACATGCATCCGTAGGCTCACGTGATTCGTATTAAAAAAGCCTGGACTTTGTGCTTTTATTAAGCGACCGAGAGAGAGATAGAGTTGCTGAAGTTGTCAAACCGAAGTTCTAAGTCGAATTTCAATCAATAATCTACTGTTAACAGGGACGCTGTCCTATCACTGCCAACGTCTGGCTTAAGTGACTAAATGGGGCCCCAATTAGGAGGCTATGGATTTATAGAACTAAAATGAGTTATTGATCAACTAATCTTTTATATTGACCCCTGATATCTTTGGTTGTGTGGATAGGAGATCTGCGGGTGAATTTGAGGATTATTCACGCTTGGTAAACAATTCCGGTGATCATCGTGGTCTAACCTTTCTGGGACCTGATTTCTTAGACCACTCCTACAGAGACTGAGTTGACCTAAAAAGCAGATGACCGCTTGTTTACACTATAGATTTTGCAGTTGCTCCAGTGACATTTGGATCGATGGATAGCACATCAGGGCAACAATGTACCAAACGGAATGAACGGGGATGCGTGCGATCAGGCTCAATCGGGTGCGCGCGCACAAACACACATGAATATATGCAAACACACAAAACCCGGGGAATATCGGTCTGAATGATTCACACATGACCCAGACAACACGGCAACACAGTATCATGGAACAATAAATTGTCCCCGGGGATGGGAATGTATACACGCACAAATTGTATGAATGTATGATGTAAGGTTGGAACTTAACAAGTTGTGAGGGCCGGTCGGTAGCCTCCAACGTCAAGAGCAGGCTAAATTCTCACGAATCCACTCGAGCCGCTGATGATCACTTTATGAAATTTCACACGATCCATTCACTATAGAATGGCAGTTTGGTTGGCCAAGTAAGAATATAAAAGCGCGCGCACATACACGAGCGCAAATGGAACGCGACTTACTGCCTTCTTTTAAGCTCTCTCTCGTTCTAACTATGAACTAGCGAGTGAACGTAACACAAGCATCAAAATGTTTACCTGAATCTACGCCGGTGTGTGTGTGGTGATGTCATCCTAGCATGTGAGCTCTAATGGAATATGATTACCAACTATGCATGTTTACATGATTATTCGAAGGTGTGTGTGTGTATGTGCATGCAAGAATAGATACATGTGGTATGTGTGTGACCGTGCAGGGTTGGGGGGGGGGGACGCTGGCGAGATTCATCAAACGAGATCGTGACTGATCGGCACAATCGTTTACTCGTCGACAGCGACACAACGAGATTCTGCATCATCCATGTTGGAATCGAGGCAGTGAACAACCTGCCTCCTACACGATTTGGGCAATTCGATGTCCACGATCAGCAAACTGGTGCTGTATTTTACACTACCAAGCGTCACGTGCTATGTTGCCGACCTCAGAAATTCCAGTCGTGACTGTAGCGTAATCCACTGTCTTTTCGACCCAGTGGCTTATTTTCTGTGGTCAATAGGCGGCCTGTCGTCCGATTAGGTAGCCATGTAAATCGGCGAGTCACGTATCAAGAAGTTATTTTGTTCAAAATGCAATCCAGAATATTGATCGTCAAAATGGAATGGAATACACCGTGATCTACCATTTAAAAATCGACCGTAAAAGTTAGTTACGAGGACCGTGCTCAACTAACCGAAAGTGAGCACTAAATGCATGATAGTCGGTCCCAGATATGAGTCTTTTGTAGAACACAGAAATGCATTTTTCACTCTCACTCCCGAAACTTGAGTCGAGATCGATCCACACGAGGAACTAATCCAGATGTTTGGTACTTTATAAATAATAAACATGCACCCCACCAAGTTAAATAACTCCTCGACTGCCAAGTCGAGCACCTTTCAACAGCTCACACCCGATATTTTATTGTTAGAAGGCGAATAAAAATGCACAGCAGTAGGTGCCAGAGGCAAACAATGGGTCAGTTTTTATGACCATCATACTTATAAACGCGTTATAGTCTGTTTGCCAGACATATGTCTCTTACAGATGCCAATCACAGGAGAATTCTAGTTCGGTTTATGTTTACCTATCGCAGTGAGCCAAATGCGGCATTCCGATCGTGTAACACAATATGAGTACTATACACTGGTTCCGTTTGCTCATTCCTTTACCCCCGGTCGACGCAGAGACCCAAACACGCTAGTGGTGTTATTGATAAGAACCTCACTGAATTATCCCAAACCAATGGATGGTTTAATAAATATCTTATCAAAACACTTGGTTCATGTGATCAAACCCAAGTTGTTGTCATTCGAAAAGCGAACTCGCTAACCCTTCATTGGAGAATTTCCCCGAGCTATCTTATTAAAATTAGGTCAAACAGTCATACGCTTCTCTCTTTCACACACACTTGCCATGTGGCATCCGGATCGATTCAATGCGCGTGGAACCACATTTTTGACCAAACCATATCTTCAACACTGGATCAAGTAATGCGCTTGCGGGTAGTAGGTATATGATTATAACAGGTGATGTCCTTTCGACCACCCCCGTTCAGTGCAAACACAACCGAGAGATTACATTTATGCATACTTGAAAGTAATCTTGGTCAATTATCCCTATACCTTGTGACAATAGCTAACAAAGCGGGACAATTGTACAGAATACTTTCTAGATCTCCAGTTCGGGTTACCTTGGTATTATGAACGATGGCTTGTTTGAGTAAGTAGAAGTTTTAATGAAACTGTATTCAGAGGATAAGAAAACGGAAGGTAAAAAGTCGAGGAACAGTTCGCAGCTGCTTTAATCTTTTTATTGTCGTCCTTATCAAGCTGAATTTGCCTATTCCATCGAGGATCGAACCTGGACTATCTCAGATGTGCTTTCCGCTTTCCTACTGCACAGATAATTGTTCATTAACACCTACTACATAAATGAATCACGCAATACGCTCGGTGATTAGTCACATTTTTGCANCAGTAACCTGTTGGACTCATAGCAACGCACATTTGGGTTTGAGCCACCGGAAGCTAGGCGAACATGCACAACTGCTGAACAGTGGCAGGGTTGGAGCAGCTGCACAGTGCTTCAACGGCTTTCACATTACTTGGGAAATCACTCACACCGAGCATTTCGCACTGTGCTAATCTGTCAAATTTATTCTACCATCCTCCTGATACTTAGTCACCCATTTTGGTGCATTTTCTGGAGCACTACACACTTGGTTCATGCTATTTATCTTCCCATGTCGCGCGTGTCTCTTAACCGTCGTTCTGATTGGTTTTCATTGACTTTTTATCTACCACCCAAACAAGGCGTATACCTAAATCTTCATCCCATCTGGATACTCATTCACTGCTTGTCCACCACATGATATGCATATTTCACAGTCTTCAGATCGCCTGGTTATTCGATGACTGTTTACCTACCCCCATGCCTGGTACCACCTTGGTATCACGCTGTTCCATATTTCCTTGGCCATCAAATTCGATCGTATGATGGTTGCACACCTTGCTAATCCACTTTCGCTTATCGTCCATCTAGAATCTGTTTGGACCGTGCTGCTGAGCCAACCTCTGCGCTAACCACTTCCCACCCTTCACTACCGAGTAACTGTGATTAGTGGTATCTATCTCTTAAGTACCGCTGTCCTTGTACATTCATTACATTCTTTTTGATGACCACCTCGTAAATGTCACTGCTTGACTCTGTACGCCTCGCTCGTATACTTGGAACTGAAATGCACCCCCACAATTGAGGCTTACTATTTTGCTTGTACATCACGTGTTTCCATTACATTTGTAGATTCCAAAGTTCTCGTTAACTGGAATTAGACTTAAGGTTTGTATCTGCGCATCACTCAATCACCAGACAACGATTCAGTACACTTGGTATGTGTGACACATTAAGACTGCTTGACCATTTTCTAATCGTTAAATCCCACACCATTCAAAACTTATCTTGTTTCGGTCTATTGTGAATAACGAACCGAATTCGTCGTGGTGGTCACTATGAATTTCATTCACCGTCTAGTAAAACGCAACTGTGTCCCATGAAGAGGGGATATTTGTAATCATATTATGAAGTGTTTTCGCCTTAAAATAAATTTATGAGAATCGGGCTAGTTGTTACAGGTGAGTCAGATTAACAGTCAGTCGTGTACAGGTTTTAACCAGAATGAGTTCGATAACAGTACATATGTACAAATTGAAGCTTGATGATTTCTTGGTTTATTTCAGTAGAACAACGGTCGGTGGTAGACAGAAGAATCCTCAAGGAAAATAAAAAGAGGGCATCTGTTTCGCATTGTCTGACAACTAGCAGTTTACAAATGATATTTAAACGTTATAATTTATTCTAACTCCTATTTCATGGTCAACACCACACATATGTAGGGAAACATCACAACAAATACGCCAAATAAGCGTGACTTTTTATGTTTTGCATTATTCCATTCAATTTCTGTCAAGCACACCTCAACGCCTATGACATAATTCGGGTATGAGTTGACTTCACGGCGGTTCTTTTTCTCCTCCTAGCCAGTCAAGACCACTTGTTAACGATGACAACTTGTGTGATGGTCTATGAAAAGCACTGAACAGTTATCTCGTTCGCTTTTGGAGCTTGGGAGCAGTGCGTCTCCTCCGGGACTCGAACTGCAGACTTTCGGGTTGGGACTTCAAACTCTTCAGGCCAGCACCTTGAGAAAATGGTCTTGTTGATATACAAATTTACGTGACTTATTATATAATTCTAAATGAAACTATGAGATTCATCTACAATGTAGGTTTGTATGTGTGTTCGGATGCGTGTGTGTTCATCAATAGTTAAATGTGACTGTTTCGTGTGAAAGTTTATACTAATCAAGATCAGTCAATTTCAGTAGAACACAGTAGGATAGTTTCAACATACAATTGCCATCTATAGATATACTATTATATATATATATATATATATATATATATATATATATATATACCAAATCCTGATTCAGCCGATTACACATTTGTATCAAGAGATTGAAGCTAAAACCTGATATACAGGACAGTGACTTCTTATATTCACCATTTATTAGAAGCAATTGTATTTAGCTCAGCTATCTTTCACCGGGCAAAACTTAATGTGGGTCACTCTCAAGTAGGAGAGCAATTTCCAC